TCTCTCTCTCTCTCTCTGTCTGTCTTTCTCTCTCTCTGTCTCTCTCTCTGTCTCTCTCTAGATAGATAGATAGATAGATAGATGCCACAGCAATGCTTAAATGGACAGAGAAAGGATGAAGGGGGAAGAAGGAAAGTACTGAAAAGGAAATAAGAAAGTAAAAATAAAGAAGGGGAAGGAAATGTAGGAAGGGAGAAAAAATGGAAAAAGGAAAGTAAGGAGGAAGGAAGGAAAGAAAAAAGGAAGCAAGGATGGAAGGAAGGAGGAAAGGGGAAGTAGAAATGAAAGAGAAGAAAGAAAGGGAAGAGGAAGGGAGTGAGGGAAGGATAGAGGAAAGGAAAAGGAGAAAGAAGGGAAGGAATCACAGTCCACATGGAGCTGCCGAGCTGGCGTTTGCTACATCCATATATTAACCCCCTACCAAGTCAAGGGATCAGTGGCTGTTTTAGTTCTATTGCTATAAAGGGACCCTATGACCAAGGCAACTTACAAAAGGAAGCCTGTGATTGAGGAATTGCTTACAGTTTCAGAAGGTGAGCCTATGACTGTCACAGTGAGGAGAGCAGCAGCAGGCAGTCAGGCGAGGTGCTAGAGCAGTAGATGAGAGCTTACATCACGATCCACAGGCAGAAGGCAGAGGGTCAGAGGGAGACTGGGCCAAGTGTGTGCTGTGGAAATCTCAAAGCCTCAGGGACACACCTCTGCTAACAAAACCATGCCTTCTAATCCTCCCTAAAAAGTTTACCAGCTTGGAACCAGGCATTCAGAAATAAGAGCTTGTGGCAGCCATTCTCACTCAAATCACCAGAGTGGCTTGTGGAAACATAGAAATCACTTCATCGTAAAGGTAGAGCTGCATTTCTTCTGAATTTGCAGCAGGTATTGGAATTGGCTTCTTCATACTCACTCTCCAGGGCCCCTCCTGACTGCCCACTGTGAAGCAGTGAGTTTCAGAACTCGGATCGCCACAACAGCCCCAGCACTGAGATCTAGATTCCAGTAGTTTGGTTCCCAAACATCCCGCTGGTGGCTTGGCCCCCAGGACAGTGGTGGGCAGAGTCAGGCATTTGAGAGGTGGGAGCTGATGCATTCACAGGTGAATGGATGACCTGCTGGTGGTGGGTGTATGGGGAAGCTTGTGGCCGAGGTGGTATCTGAAGTCACAGAAGCTCAGTCGCAACCAGAGTGTCTTGAAATAGTCCCTATTTCTTCTTTACCTCCTAGGAGCTGTGAAGTGAGCATCTTTGCTTTACCATGTGATCTCAGCTTCTATTTCCCCCTCCCCTCCATCAGGGTCCAGAAATAACCAGTCCAAGCCATCAGACGTACACTGAAAACTTGGAAATTATGAGTTTCATTCCATGTCAGTAGACTTCAAAGATGGACCAAGTAGCTATGTTGGGCAGTTTCTGTTGCTGTGACAAAACACCAGAGGCATTCACTTAAAAACTAAAAATAGTTGTTTCAGCTCATGGTTTCAGGTGGCTATTAGCCCAGGGCCACTTGGTGCTGTTGGTTTGGGTCTGTGCCAGCACTGTGTATCATAGGGCGCATGGCCCCAAACGACCTAACTTGCTTCTATAGGGCTTAACTTCTTACAAGTTCTCCCTTTAGCATACTTGGGAGGCCCATGTCTTTTAGACCATGGGTCTGTGGAGGAAATCCTGTGGCCTCCATAATAAAGCAAGTGTGAGGATTGTAGACGCTCTTCTGTAGATCACATCTCAGAGTGGGACCACCCATCTTAGAAGGAAAGAACACATGTGGGACATTAGATTGTTCATTTTCCCATCAGCTGTGTCATCCCTGGGTTCTTGGAGCTGGAAACAGAGCCAGGCTCTCCCAAGGAAGCCTGCAATTATGTTTTTTACATGATTTCTAAAATTTTTATTTTGAAAAATTGAAAATCCCTCATTAAAATCTCAGCTCTTTTCTACTGTTTGTAGTTTGCCTCATGGTAATGTATTGGTAAAATCAAGGACACTATGGTGTCACAGACATTCAGGTTCGATGACTTTAAAGTGTCAGTTTATATGGAAAATTCATATAAAATACATCCACTGCACCCACCTGCCACCAGCGCGTCAGGAACATGGGCATCAGCTCTCAGGAACCTGTGCTCTTTGTGAGCTGTCCAAGGGACCAGCTAACCGAGCTGGGGCTGAGAACACAGCTTCAACCTGGACAGATGGCAAAGGCATCTCCTCTCATGGACCACCTGTCATAGGATTGTGGTGAATCCAGGAAACATGTGTTAAGAAGGAATCTCAAGCCAAACCCAAACAGCGGCTTATCATGGCACTGTTTGTAAGTTTTGTCTTTGTGGGTGAGATGTGGGGTAGGAGTATAGATTTGCACTGGACAAATTTGTCTCAAGCTAGACCAATGGTTCACGTTCACCTTTGACTGGCTGGTATTTCTCACTGTGTGCTTAGTGCATTGCCATGTAGAATAGAAGCTTGACAGGTGATTGCTGAATGAGGTTCTGAGGTAGGTGTTTTCTATTCTAGTGGGCATGGACAGAAAGAAAGACAAGCAGGGCAAGCAATCTGGATGTTGAGATTGAGTCTGGTCAGTGTTTGAGGTCACATGGTCCTCCAGTGGCTGGAGTCTTAATGTGATATGCGGCTGTCCCTTTAATTCACTGAAAGCCATTTCAAGATGCAAAATGTTACAGCTGGCACCAGCACCTTCCTTAAAGTACAGGTCAAGCTGTTGGTGGCTACAGAGGCTCAGCGGGACTCGAGTTTGGGAATGGATTTTCTGGTATTTCTGAGTGCTTCAAATGACAGCCACCTGCGGGGCATTCTATAGGAGACTCACCACATGAAAGCATCTAATTGATTTGTGTCCATTTGGGGGTCTTGCTTATCAACCGACCAGCTTCCTAGTCTCAGGGGTGCATTAGCCTGAATAAGGCAAGTCCTCTACGCCCTCCCAAGGTGTGCTGTGGCTTCTTCACAATCTGCCAAAAAGCCGTCACTGAGAAAGAACACCTACTTGCCTGAGCAAGCAGCATAGGTTTGAAATGTTTGGAGCAGGACAGAACTCCAGGCCTGGGTGCAGAAGGAAGACGTTTCTGTTTGTGCCATTTAATTGAAAACCACTGCTTGGTTGCATGGTGCAATGGTTGATTGTCCTTGTTATCTTGACTGGGTATGTCCATGAAGGTATTTCCAGAGAGGTTTCACTGAGAAGGGAAGAGATCCAGCCTCATGCAGGCAGCACGGTTCCATGGACAGTGGTTCTGAGTACAATGAGGGGGAAGGAAAAATGAGCTGGGTGCAGCCTTCCTTCCCCCTTTCTACTTCCTGGTTTGCTGAGAAGGGGGTGAGACTCCTTAAGCTCCTGGAGTTACAATTGTCCATGCCTCCCATCGTGATGGACTGTGCCTCTTCAAGCTGTGAGCCAAGATAACCCAGTCTTCCTTTTAATTTTTTTTTTTGTCCAGTGTTTACTCATAGAAATGATAAAGTAATACACATGGTATATTGCCATGGCGATACAATACTGACATTAGGTGCCTCACCTGGGCCAGCATGGTAGCAATGGAGGCTGTACTTTCTAGTTTCTAGAGTTATCAGAGAGGAGGGAGCCTTAGTTGAGAAAATGCCTCAATAATATCAGGCTGTAGGATATTTTCTTTCTTTTTTTACTTCCTTCTTTCTTTCTTCATTCACTTTACATCCCAACATCCACACACTCTCTCCCAGTTCCTCCTCAAATAGCTCTTCCCCCATTTCACCTCTCCTTCTTCTTTGAGAAGGGGGAGTACCCCCCTGCTATTACCCCACCTTGGCACATTAAGTTTCTGCAGGACTAGGCACATCTTCTCCCACTGAGGCCAGACAAGGTGGCCCAGTGATGTGAAGGGGATCCACAGACAGGCCACGGAGTCAGGGACAGCCCCCACTCAAGTTGTTGGGGGTCCTACATGAAAACCAAGCTGCACATCTGCTAAATATGTGTAGCTAGTAGTCCTAGGTCCAGCCTGTGCTCACTCTTTGATTGATGGTTCAGTCTCTGGGAGCCCCCAAGGGTCCAGGTTAGCTGACTGTTGGTCTTCCTGTGCTGTCCCTATACTCTTTGGATACCCCATTCTTTCCCTCAACTCTTCCATAAGACTACCTGAGCACCATCTAATGTTTGGGTGTGTCTCTGCATCTGTTTCCATTGGCTGCTGGATGGAGCCTCTCAGAGGACAATTATGCTAGGATACTGTCTGCAAGTTTATCAGAGTATATTAATAGTGCCAAGGATTGGTTCTTGTTCATGGGATGGATCTCAATTTGGTCCAGTCATTGGTTGGTCAGTCTCTCCATCTCTGCTTTATCTTTGTCCCTATACATCTTGTAATTAGTGATTGATGGGGAAAGGCCCAACCCATTGGGAGTGGTGCTATCCTTGGGCTGGTAGTCCTAGATTCTGTAAGAAAGCAGGCTGAGCAAACCATGAGGAGCAAGCCAGTAAGCAGCCACCCTTCATGGCCTCGGCATCACCTCCTGTCCCCAGATCCCCATCCTGCTTGAGTTCTTGTTCTGACTTCCTCTGATGATGGAACGTGATATGGAAGTATAAGTCAAATAAACACTTTTCTTCCCAAGTTGCTTTGGTCATGGTGTTTCATCACAGTAATCGTAACCCTGACTAAGGCAGAGGCATGGTGATAAATCTGAACTCTCACCATTTGTTAGTAACCAAGCAAGCACCCTTACCCTGAGACAAAGACAAAGTCCAAGGAACTTGGACATTTATCACTGTTTGGTAATTAAGGTGGTATGATATGTGTATACTTGCTGAGGCAGAAGACTAAATAAGTCCTTATATCTCACTATATAGGAGGGAAAAAGTTTAAATTGAAAGTCACTCATCAAGAACCAGGAAATTCTCAACTGTGGGAAAAAAAAGATGGACAGAAATCAGCACCCAGATGGAAACATATTGGAGTTATCTGAGGAGTTTAAAAGTTTAAAATAGCTGCCATGACAGTGCCTTAGGGAGGCCTCTCACGCTCACCACACACGGTATTCTTATACTGACAGTATATACAGAGGAGGCAGAGTAAACTGATTCTCTACGTAGCTTAGCCATCGTGCCCGATCTGTATTGTGAATGGAATACACGGATTTGGAAAGAAGGAGAAAATGCTTCAGTGAGCAGTCAGGAACAAGAATGGGGGACAAAAAAAGGATGAAAAGGTTTCATCAAAGGAGAAAAAAGAATGGAAGCAGAAAGAAGAACTAAATGGAAAACATGGGACCTGAATCAGTAACTGAAATCTTTATATACACCCAACAGCAGCATGGGAAGAAGAAAGCATCAGTAAACTTTGGGACAGAACGATAAAAATGATATAATCTGAACAATACAGTGAAAGGAGCCCAGAGGAGGAAGCAGAGTTCAAAGACCTGATGGCCCCAGTGTAAAAGGACACATCACAGCCATAAAAGAACAGAAAACAAGAAAGAAGACATTTCAAATGGCTGAGGACCTCCCACAATTTTCAAGTTTTTGACCCTCATGATGCAGAAACTGAGCAACACAACAGAAGACCCTCATCAGCAGACCTTGATACCAAAGACAAAGAAACATCCTTAGAAAGGACCAGGGGAAAAAACTTATCTTAACCCCTCCTTGAGTTGGAAAACAATTCGAATGACAGCCAGTTTCTTATCATGAGCCATGGACCCCAGTAAGAAATGTTCAGTACTTTTCAAATGGCTCATGAAGAGATCTATCAACTCAGAAATCTACCTTCAATGAAAACAGACTTCAAGAATATGAGAGGAATAGAAATGTTTTAAGATTAGGAAGAACTAGAGTCTTTGTCACCAGTAGACCTATTCCTTAAAGAGTAGCTAAGGAAAATTCTCTAAAGCAGGAAGAGAACATAAAAGCCATATTAGAACTTGATATGAGAAAAAAAGAAGTATAAGATGTGAGAAACATAAAAGTCTTCTCTTACTGAATTTAATTTTCTCATGATGTTGAAGCAAAACCATTGTCTGTTATGGTTTTCAGTATATGTCGAAGAAATACAATTAACTGATGTAAGTAGAGAAGTTTAGTAGAGGGACTTGAAGTGAGGTAAGTTCTTAATGGCTTTTGGACTGGGGAATGCCAGTACCAGGAAACATGAAAAGAAACTCATACACAGAGATACACTAAGAAATATTACAGGTACATCATACTGGGTTAAAGGATGCTCAGGTAACTTGGAGTTTCAGGAATGAGACAGAACTGAGAAACAAGGATCAAGCAGAAACAAGAAGGCAGAGTTAAACTCTAGCCAATCATTATTACATTAAATGTAAATGGTCTAAAGAACCAACTAAAACACAAAGATTGACCTGAGATTTAAAAAGAATACAACTGTTCACTGTCAGCAAGATCTTAATCCAACTGTAATACAGGTAAGTCGAAAATAAGTGGACAGTAAATGGTATATCATGAATAAAAAAATGCTGAGCAAGAATAGCCGTATCAATGACATATTAAATATACTTTAAAACAACAACAGCAAGATTTCCAGAATAAACCCAAAATGTTACATAGGAACAAAAGGGTTGGCCAACAAAAAATAGATGGTAATCCCCACCCCCCTCTCTCTGTCTCTCTTTCTCTTTCTCTGTCTCTCTGTCTCTGTCTCTGTCTCTGTCTCTCTCTCTCTCTCTGTATGTGTGTGCATGTGTGTATGTGTGTATTTAATATATTTTCTGCTGCTATGGCAGAATATCAGAGGCTGAGTATATTTAAACAAGATAAGTGTATTTGGTCCATGGTTTATAGAGAGCTAGATCATCAAATCTGATAAGGAAATTTCTGATGGGCCATGTCATGGCTAAAGGTATCCTATGACAATCAAATATAATGAGGGTAAACTTGCCTCTTCTATACCTAACCCACTTCCATTACAATGTAATTCATTCATAAGGACCAAAGTATTTATTGTGGCCTCATCACCTTGTCAGAGTCACCACTGAAAACAGATACAATGGATAAGTTCTGAAGGAGCCACTTAACCCACAGCAACCCTAGCAAAGCCACAAATTATGTCCAGTAAAAACTGTTAGAAATGAATGCTGAATCAGACAGGTCCACAAATTCAGTTCAAGACTACAACACTATTCTATTTGACCATTGAAAGAACAATAGAGTATTACCAAGGTACATAGAACCATGGACCAACAGGATCCAGCAGCTGTCTATATAGACTACTCAAGAGGCAGCAATGTACCCTGAGAACATACCCTGCACCATGAACTGGATGAACACATTCAAAAGTACTGAAATCATACAAGAGTATGCTCTACCACATGGAATCAATTTAGTGACATGGAGATCCCCAAACAGGTGGAAACTGAATAGACTTTTATATGATGCATGCACCAAAGAGGATGTTCTAGGAGAAATTTTAAAAGACATCAAACAAGTGGTACATTGAGCCAAAAATAAATGTCACCAGTAAGGGCATCTTCCTTCTTTTTATAAAAGAATAATTATTCTACCTTTAATTTGTGTGTGTGTGTGTGTGTGTGTGTGTGTGCACGTGCATGCGTGCATGTGTGTTTGTGTGTATGTGTTTCTGTGTGGGTACCTGTGGAGGTCAGAGGCATCAGAGAACTCAGAGCTTGAGTCACAGGTGGTTGTGAGCCACCAATGCAGTGCTGAGAACTCAAAATGGGCCCTCTGCAAGAGCCATGCTCTTAACTGCTGACTCCTTTCTTCATTCCCCCAGGGAGATGAATTTTATGTATAACGGAAATCAAGTAAACCGTGGATGAAAGGTTATGAAGACTGAGAATGGAGTTTGTTTCCCAGGAGAAAAGATAATGGATGGGAAGACAGAAAAGATGCCCGAAGTGCCAACTCTCAATTCATGTTCCTATTTCCCACGAGCCTAGCACCATTTTTCTCAGGTCTGTGACTAAGGGCACTTTCATACTGGAACCAGCCAAGGATGGTTAGTTAAAGGGCCATCCACAAAGACATGGACAGGGTCTATGGAGACCAGAGGTGTTAAAAAAAAATAGAAAACAGTAAGATTGGTCAGAAGGAAAGCACAGCTTTTAACAATCCAAAAGGGAAAGTAGAAGACAGGCAGGAGAACATGGAGATGCTGAGAGGTGTTGAGAATCAGGCAGAAGACACTACTCTTGTTGACTACATCAGCCTCCACTATGCCACTTGACAGGAAGGAAGCTGAAGAAGACTTGAGTTCCCCCTTCCTTTTGTCTCCTGCCAAGATCCCAAGAGAATAGGTTCAACAAGAAGTCAGAGGAATAGGCCCCTTTGCCTTCTTTGTTCAGTAGGATGTCCTCCCAGTGACACATTGACAGCGGGTGAAGGTGAGAGGCAGACAGCTGTATGGCTAGCAGGGACACTCATAGGCAAGGCCAACTATCCCTGTGCCACCTTGAAAATGCTGGTAAGAGCGGAAGAGATGGCTCCATTGGTAAACAGCTCGTTGCATAAACACAAGGACCTGAGTTCATTCCCTGGTACCCATGTGACCGCTGGGTGTGACATTGTCATCTCAGCATGGGGGAGGCAGTGACAGGAAGATCCCTGTGACTTTCTAACCAGCCAGTCTAGCTGAATTGGCAAGCCCTGGGTTCAGTGAGAGACACCCTCAAGATCAAGTTAAAGAATGATTAAGGAAGACATGGATCCATGTGCATACGCACCCCCTACATGCACACATGCACTCAAATGCATAGAAAATATAATCACTCTGAGATGGTCTGCTTGTAAGAGAGTTGCTGAAAGGAACCAACCTATCCAACTGTCTGCCATGGGAGAGGGAGAATAAACCTTTATTACATTAAGCCTCTGAGATTTGGGGTTGTGTATTAAAACAGCTAGTGTTAATTACCCTGACTAATACACCCAATAAAAGCCAGGGCCTCGGAGTCTGTGTGGAGTTGAATATTAAATGCACACCCAGCACTCAGGAGTAATTAAAAAGTGATTCCAATATTTACTTGTGTCTCTCGAAAAACACCAATGGGGATCTGATTCATAATTTTAGTCACTCATCTCAAAACCCATTTTATTAGTAATATCATCTCCTTTGACCCAGATCCTTCCATCTGTCAACCCTCAAACATTTTCCCCAACTCCAAGTCCATGCAGGACTTCTCATTAACCCTCCTTCGACTTCACAATGTGGGACTTTTAGTTTCTTTCTTTGCTTGCCCCAATCACTATCTTTCTGTTACCATGAAAAATCCCCAGGTCTAGTTGTCTGACACAGTGGGATGGGTGAGGCTCACATGAAATTAAGACTGGGAACTAACGGTGATCCTGGCACACGGTAAGACACAAGCATGTGCCCGTCACAGGCTGCTTTCTAGGATGCAGTTCTAAGACACAGTTGCCATGCGTTTGTTTATGGGGAGCACATTGCAAATGAACACCTGTAGAGTGAAAGAAAGCAAGAGTAGGCTGAGGCAAGGCAGACAGGGACCCAGGAGCCAGATCTGGTGTCTCCAAATCTATTCTTTGAGTTCCAGGAGCTTAGTTCTTATCCTTCTGTATCCATCTACCATGGATGTGATCAGCCTGGGAAGCAGGTGACCTTGGGCAAGGGCATTCCCAAGAGGCCTGACAGCTGAAGGCTGTTGCTGACAGCTCTCTCTGCAGCTGGGACAGTGCATTCTGCCTTGTGGGGGAACTTGGTAGCTCTATCACTATGCTGAGAGCTTGTATATGTACAGAAGGTAGGCCACTATGGGGTGACCCTATCTGTCCTTGCAGCCCTGTCAGCTCCCGTTCTTGTTCTTTCTTCTCTATGAGGTCCTGGGTCTCTTACACTGTCCTAGGCTTTCCACTTGCTTAAAGAACCACATAGAAATTCACTCCTTCCCAGAAGCCTCTGTCCTGATGCTCAATCTGCCTCACTGTCTTGCCCTGGGCTGTCCAGTCTTCTACACAGGAACAGTGGCCCCGTGGCTTCTTCATGGGCTGCAGGGTTACAGAGCAGCATGCTGCTGGCCTTGCTGGAATGAACTGATTTCTCATTATTATTAAAGAACACCATAATGACTATAGTCACCAGGAGGACTTGTTAATGGTTCTTCCCCTCTTGACTGTTGCCTTTTAAGGCACTTGGGCTGTGCATAG